TCTCGGTCATGTGGGGGGTTCCAAGTGCTTTTGTTGTGGAAAGGGGTGTCATTTTCGTTAGTGTTGGAGTTGTCATAGTTCTCGTTGAAAAAATATTCAGTTAGTCGCATGCGTCTTGAAAAATCGTAAATATCTGCCGAAACTTTCGGCCAGTTGATATGTCGAGTTGTCGGGCAGAATGTAAATCCGCGTGAAAGAACAGATGTCTCGTCGGTAGTAAGGGAAAAACGAGATAGATTAATAACAGAAGAAAGATCTAGGAGGAAGCGAAAAGGCTTAGTTTAGCGGCGACAGCGTTTCTGTTTGGGGCAGCTGGTGGTGGGTGGGTTAGTAGCGTTATAAATGTAATGTGTATTATCAGATGATGTGTCGTTATGGCTAAAGTTAGAGAGGACTTGGTCTTTACCTTTAGAGCTATTGTGGCTAATGAAGCGGCAGATAGGAGCATTCTTTTTGTCACGTCTTTTGGCAAGCAGAGACTCGAGGGACCAGGCCATAGAATTAAGTTTAGCCGAATAAAACAAGAACATATCCGGTGAACAAGAGTCTCGTAAGAGTTCCATGTGGTTTGAAAGTTCCTTGTTGAGTGTGTTGATCTTGTTTTTGCATTCGGTGATAAGTAACTTGAGATGTCGGTAGGCGCATTTCGTTTGAGTATCGTAAAACCAAAACCAAAGTAACTCAACAGCCAAGCAGGAGAAAGGAAAATATTACATGGACAAGGTGCTAATGAGAACTCCAAGCAAAGACAAATGTGGGAAAACGCGAATGGCCCAGTCGATTAGGAAGGCGTGGATGGCTTCTATCATTTTCCGAGTGCAAGTGACTTTTTAATCATGTACATGTAACCCATTTATAAAGCCGTTTGGTCTCATCGTTCATTGCCATCGCTTTATAGGTGTCAATGTTTCTGCAATCGAGTGTATCCATAAACTCACGGCAGCCGTCTTCAATTGTGCAAATCACATGCTTTAGAAAATGAAAAACTCACGAAGAGTCAGTCAATACTCATAAATAGCTTACCGTTTCAAGACAGAAGCTCCAGTTGTAACATACAAGACTTGACTAAAATCTTGTCATAAAAATCCAATAGTTCAAAAGCAATGAACACTGAGACTGGACCTGTAAAAGAGACCCGGTTACCTGTAAGAAAGCAAAACGTTTCATTTTTGCGTGTTCAAATCCATCATCAGTCACAACAAAGTTATACGTACAAAACCGAAATACATGCATATATGCATATATGCGCTTAAAAAGTTGGTAAATCCCCTTATCTTTCCTTCAGTGATAGAAAAAATGAATGAATTACATGTATGCTTTTTGTAATAGGCATTCGGTAAATGTTTTTTCTCCATTACGGTCTGAGGTCTCCTCGAGGTTGGCGCCGTAGCACATGGCGTTACGGTTAACTCAGAGAATTTAGAATTTTAACGTTCCGAGAAAACAGCTTCAAAGAGATCATCATGAACAGTGCAAGTAAAACATGAATTGATCAATAAATTTAACTCGTGTTCTAGTGGGTCCAAATGAAATCAAATGTGTCAAACCGACTTCGCTTCTTATGATTATCTTTCTCGGTTTTTATCGCTCATGTCAGAATTCTCTTCCGCCAAGTCATTAATCACATCACTTAGAACATGATCGAGATTTGAACCCCTTTTGAAAAATGACACTGCAAACCAGAGTGATTTACTTAATCTCTGTAAAGCAATAGCAGCAAATCATATGGGGGTATTATTTGGAAAGGCAGTACTTACCACGACCTGTAGCCTTCAATACCCTGCTTTAGTATGAAACCACTTATGTTCGTCATTTCGGTTTTTCCCAGCATAAGTCATATAATAGATAGCCAATCAGTCGCCACTTATAAAAGATAGCCAATCAGATGAGAGCATCTATTTCGTTAGCAAAATCAGTGCGACTGTCACTTGCGTGACTTAGCCCCTCATTTAGTCGTTCTCAGGGTCGACACGTAATTACTCCTCCCTCCTTAGGAAGGAACGACTACGTGACGGGCCCACTATGAGGCTACGTTACTTTAAACTAATAATGTCCCTTCTGTACTTTTTCAATGATGAGTTTTAATAGCAAATTTGAAAGACTATAGACCACATGAATAAACCTCGTGGTTTGCTTACTAAAAGTTTTTCGGAGTCTCCAAGGTGTAGTTTTTCACCTTGAAGTTGCTCATTACCGTCATTCATTCCCATCAGAATTTTTCCCTTGTTAAAATTCGTTTTTCTCCGTGGCCGAAACCTCTATGAGCAAATACAGTTTAATTTTACGGAAGCATACAGCACTGGGTTTACTAGAAACGTGAACAGCAAGAGTGACCACGTGACCTTGTTTTCCCACCATTTTTTCACTTTTGCCGGTTGCGCTTCGCCGTTTGTACGTGAAAGTTACCTGTTTCGCGTTTGTCGTCTAAGTAAGATATCTTCTTCACTTTTTCTCTCACAGAAGAGAAGTTAACTGCCGGAAAAAGGGCACCGAAACTATTCCTTGTTCGTCATACGAGGCTGCCTTCAAACCCATCATGACGTGAAGTCACGCAAAGCTAAAGCAGCAAGATTCACGCTATTTAAGGTGAAAAGTGAAATGGCAAAAGGACGTATGCCGTTTCACGTGAAGGCGGTACTAAATCTCTCTAAAATAATGAACTTTCCCGCAAGCCTGAAGAGCAATGAACGCATTGAGCCCGCAGTATTCGGTAAATCTTAAACCAATCAGATAACAGTATTTCACGCCGTGAAAACTCAAAATGGCTGTTCTTACCAAGTGTTGGGCTTGTATACTCAACGGAATGATAACAGGAAAACTGCCACCCGAGTAGAGCATACAGATTGTTTTGTTAGTTAAGATATGTTCAAGAGATCAACGGGCACAAGGAAACTTGACTATACACCGCGATATTTTTATTCTTTCGCGTTGAAAGCAGCCATGATACGACAGGGAGTTAGAATCTTTGGATTATGACGTGACGTTTGGTCCATGTTGTTTGTTGTGTTGATGGTATTGTTACTAATCTTCTAGTTGTATCTTACGAAATCGGATGAAAATTATACGAAAGCTCAAGTTGAAAAGACCATGAGCAAGACAAGCTCCAAGGGGTAAGTTTCCACTTTGTGCAACATTCGCTGGGAGTGTTTCCTTTATCCGTACCAGTGTTTGTGTTGTGTAAGCTTCTGGCCGAATTTTATTTTAGGAGCAGTGCGAGGATAGGCACTTTACTAGAGCAACTACAAAAGCTGTGTCTCGCTGGTTCCGAGGCCAAATGTGATCAAGAGAAGCTTGATGTGGAACAGTTGCGTTACGTTACGAATAAAATTCAGCAACTTTTGTCTTCTCAAGGTAACGGTTATTGTCATTTAATTTAACATACTGTTACCAAGCACGGTAAAATGAAATGATAAATTTTCAAAAACGTATTTTTCTCCACTACTAGCCTGCTCTTAGTAAGTTATCCCCTTAAGCTAGATCCCGTTGATGTGCTAAGCAAAAAAGCGAATTATCTTTATGGGGCAGTCATACTGAAAACGAAATATTCAGTTGGATAGCTTCACTGTAAATATAATTAGGAAGATTCTTTTTTCGCACAATCAATCATGCGTTTTTTTGTTGTTGTAAACACTATTTACTGTTTAACCGATGTTTAGTCAAAAAACTTTTACCATTCATGCATTGCAATAATCTGAAACGAGGGAAAACCAAATTCGTGTCAGCTTGGCAACTTTGAGTAAAAAATTGTATCTACACTTTGCGATGAACACGTAAGAACTTTTTACTTAACGCTTTTGCAGAAAAATGTCGGAAGGATCTGACCACAAAATTTAGAGATGGACTGTCAACACTGCTTTTAGTTTTAGAGGTAAACCTCTTTATGTTATATTTTCAATCATAAACATTTCATTTTGTGGATGATGTATAAGTGAAAATTTAGGAAAGTGTTTTGTTTCTTGTAGATGTCAGCAGATACTCAACTCATGCTGAACATTTTGGGTTGTCTGTGTGAACTGTTAACCACAGGTACCTTTTTTTTTAACCCTTTATAATGTAACATCAGTATGCCTATTCTCCTTTATGTCCTCTTTACATTTCCTAAAGTACTGGTAGAGAGAATTTGTTTAACAATCAAGAGCTTCTTTAGCTGGTGATCATTGGTCACCCTTAACAGAGTCCTGACAACCTGTATCAAAGGGTCATTTAAAAACTAAGAAATATCTTTCAAGTAAAATTTAATCCATGTTTATATCCCAAAATCTGTTTAGTAATTATGATTGCAATATATGGCATTTTTTATCACTTTTTACAATACTCCTATTTTGTGGAACTTGTGTTAAGCAGTCACCCCGTTATTCCCCGTGGGTGACCACTACAGGTTCAACTGTATTAGGTCGCTGTGTGAAAGTTGTAGAGTTTGACTTGTGCTAAATGACAAGGTTTTAACAATAATTGGCACTGTACAAATGACTTGAGTTTATTCATAGCATTTACTCTACAGAGGAACAGAACAACCTTAAAATTGCAGACAGATCAAAACTAGCCAATCAGGACCCACATACCAAACTCAAGTCTTACAGTTAATAACATTACTGCTAAACTGACTGATCAGTTTACAAGAACAGGACTTACATGTATGACACTCAACTGGCAATAACAACTCTTCACTAATGAGAAGACTTCTGGGAACTAAAGGTTTTTCCAAAATATCAATCACCACCAACAATAGTCCTTATCAGAACTATGCTCACTTGGACAATCAGACTACACAATCAAATGTTAGTCCCTGGTTCAAAACATTTATTGTGCTGATATTATTATCAAAGCTAAGTTTGCTTGTAGGGTGATCTGGTGCATTGATTGAAAAGTAAAATCTTAATGATAAATAAAAGCTACTGTTTAAAGAATCTTAGCCCTGTGAGAAGCTGTGGAAATTTATGTTGATTTAGGAGCATGACCCATTATTTACTGAACAATGTACAGTGTACAAGGAAGGTATCAATACACATTTTTAATCTTATCAATTAGCCCCATCTTTTCTTCTTTGCTTTCACATTCTGCCCATTTACAGAACTTTCTCAGAAACTTACACTGTTTTGTTACCTTTAAACAGGTAAAAGGACATCTGTTCTTGCAGCCAAGGGTACTGTGGATATTATTTTGAGAGTGACTGTGAGTGCTAGTAAAGATGCATCTCTTTGTGAAGAGGTTTTGCTGCTCTGCCATGTCATTTTAACAAAAGTAGGACCCAAAGGTGAGTTGTTAGATACATGGAAGTCGATACAAAGTAATATTTTCAGTTAAACAGATATTGCTGCAACTCGGGTGTCAATCATCCCTTAAAATGTAAGCAGTGAGGTCTGTGGGAGGTTAACTGTGATTTACAACCCTGGATTCAGATGTTAACCACAGAAGGGCTTATTTTGAATCACTGTGGATTGAGTGAATAATGTCTCAACGGGTAGGAAAGATTCAGTGTACAGGGCACTTATTCTTAAGTGCTGTTATCATCATGCATCTTCATGAAAGAGGCCTGGCTTAGAAAATCAAATATCAGTTCTAAACAGGAAATGACGCTCCCTTGGTTACAGACATGAAGTGCCTCTTTTCAAAATATTTTAAGTTCAGTAATTGTTTGAAAAACACCTCTGAGGAAGATTTCAGTGTATTAGGTATGCTGATCTGGAATATAAAATAAGTAATAAGTAATAATTAATCACAAAGCAAACAAGGGGAGCTAGGTTGGAGAATATGAAAAAGGATGGAAATTGGAAACCTGAAAAATTCATGCTTAAAGATATAATTACAATTAAATGTTAAAGCAAATTCTCTGGAATGTTTTTTTTTTTTTGTTTTCAAATATTCTTTTACTTACTTGTACCTCATACTTTCTGCTTGTTCACAGATCGTAAACTTTGTGTGAAAGCTCGTTTGACCGGTGCTCTCCAAGTCACAATGAATATGGTGAAGAACAATACAACATTCTTTAAGGTTCTACAACCTGCTTTACAAGTCCTTAAACTTTACTCTGCCAATTGTAAGTTATCAAACTGTACATGTTTAACTTTGCCAGATACATTTAGAAATGTGGCTCTCTAAGGAAAAGTTCTTTTCCTTATTGCTTGTTTATGCTTTGTTTTTTTAAAGCAATTATGTTTGCTATGTGCTTCAGGTTGACTGTTCCTGTTTTTGAATTAGCAGCTAATAAAAATAAATAGCACTGGTACCACATTACAAATATACAATGAACATGTATTGTTTTTTTGTTACTTGAAAATGGGCCAAAACACCCTCAGTACTTTCAATAAGATTTGAAATAGGTGGCTACCTCAGTATAGCACCCACTGGAGAGCAACTTGAGTGCGACTTGAGCGTGGTGACCACGACTTGAGCACGGTGAAATATACCCAGTGACTCACAACAGAATACCCGCCGGAGCTCCGGTGGGTGCTGGGTCTTATTGAAAGTACTGACCCTTTTCTTGTTTTTTCATGTTATATACAAAGAATGATAGCAAGATTTTTATCTAAATCTTAACTCTCTGTTCATGCTCACATGCACTATCAGAAATTGGAGGATTTTATTCTTGACCTGGTTCTTTTTGGTCACCAGTTTCTGTTTCATTCTTTCTTTCATCTTCTGACTCCTCTGAAATCATAAGATAGAGGCTTGATTTACAAATCATTAATATCAATTCATGTTGTCTCCTAAATCTTGACTTTGGCCACTAAGTTGATGTAGGATCCCCCACTACACAAAAAGTTTGACTTAAGATTATGATGGGCCAATAGCCATAGATCATTGCTGTGTCAGGCAGTGACAAATTGTCTCAGTGACTTACACAGATTTTTTTGGTGTATGGGGGAGGGTGGGGTGGGGGTGCTTTTGGAAGTACAGTGGAACCTTTATTAAACAGCACAGTTTGAAGCAGTCGGATGTCAAATTCCCTTATTTGTTTCCCCTTAATTGCTGTAATTTTCGCTCTATTTGATGGTCACCTCTATCAAGTGGTCATGGTCACACCACTTACTGAGTCCAAACTACTGGTTTGTATTGTCCTCTACCTCTTTTGAACAGTCACTTGAAAAAAGCTGAATCACTCAAAGGAAACCAAGAATAATCTTAAAAGTAAATTTGAATGCATGCTCATCTCCCAAAGTAGATGCTAGCAGTATTATTGAAAGAAGTTTTATATGTTAAGAGGTCAATTGTGGGAAAAATTGTCACCTTTATTTTGTAGATCCTGTTAAGCGGTCAACCAATATTAGGCAGTTACCCCACCATTCCGCATGGGTAACTGCTTATACAGTTTCAACTGTACCAATATCTATGGGTTCAGAAAAGTTTTAGCAATATCTCCTGAAATGCTCAACTAAATGTTAAATATTGGGGGGGGGACGGGGGGTGGAGGTAGTGGACTTACTTTTCCAGATACTTGATGCGGGCTATTTGCAGCTAGGTGAACTGTTACCATGGCAATGGTAATAAGATAACAAGATAAACTTGGTTTTGTGAAATGTAGCTAAAATTATTATTTTTTTATTGACTCTTGATTAAAGAGAATTGTAATCATTATTGCTTTGGATGAATTGTTGTTTTTGCTAATTTACTCAATTTATACTGACAAGAATAAATGGTAGATACTGTTGGCTTGAAAAATACAAAGCCCCTGTCACAAATGTGTTAAAAAAAAAAAAGGAAATTGAGAAATACCCATTTTCTCAGTTGAGGTTGGTACTGATGTTGAAGTTCTATATGCCAACCAGTTTCCAATCTCCTACTTTTAATTTAAAGGTACGTAACAAGGTAGTCAGTTGAATACAAGAAATTATTCACATCATAATTATTCTGACATTATCTGCTGTTGTACCGGCCTTACATGCAGGAGCATAAAGTGAGCTCATGAAAGCTTTAGCAGATTGAACAACTTCTTGGTAATTGCTCTCCTTTTGTAAGTCCTGTAAATGTTAGTATGCTTGTTTGTTATTCACAAAAGCCCCCCAGGCCTTTCTTTTGCTAATCTAGCTACATCATTATCAGTACATGGAGAAACATTCTTATGTCTGCCTCCTCTTTATGGATAAGATGTTCTCCATTTTGTGTCACTGATATGCCATCACTCACTATTTCAAAGGACCCTGATGGCACCAACTTCTAGCATTAGGTACTCTCTTTGAAATCTCTGACCAATTGCCATTCCATCTATAATGAATGCAATTGATGGTTAAGCAGTATCATGTACATGAATTGTTGGTAGAACAACAACTCCTTCTTTAAGGGTACTTTTTTAGCATGCTCTTTGTTGCTTTTCTCAGGGACCCTCTGTGCCAAAGTGCAAGGAACAGAGAACAGTTTGTACTTCAGAATCTCTCTGAGTTTTATATCTCTTGATATTGACTGAAAAAAAGCATTTGAACATTTAGATTTCTGTCCACACTTACTTTTGAAAGATTCTGGTCAGCATATTTCACATTACATGTAGTCTTCTTTGACAAAATTAATTGCAAACATTTTGATGTTCATCTTTGATGATGGCTCCCAAATCCAACTGAATTAGAATGCATATGTTTTCTTACCAATGACCTCATCTCTTCCACTCTCTGGTTTTTAGAATTAAGAAGACTCAAATCTTCTGGCTGCTGCTGTTGGATCAAGCCAACAGTATCCCACACATACATTGTAAGCTCTTTGATTCCCCAAACAACCAGCAAAGTTCTTGTGATCGGGAGCTCTTATCAGAGCTCATTGGCTCCCCAATTGAACAACAATATTTTTTGCAATTGCAAGCTCTTATCAGAGCTCATTGACTTCCCAATCAACTGACAGAACTCTTGTAATAGGGAGCTCTTATCAGAGCTTATTGAATCTCCCAGTCTACCATCAAACTTCTTGCAATTGGGAGCTCTTATCAGAGCTCTTCGACTCCCCAATCAACCTACAAAGTTTTTGTCATCAGGAGCTCTTATTAGAGTTTATTGACTTCTCCAATCTACCATCAAACTTCTCGCTATCAGGAGCTCTAATCAGAGCTCATTGACTGGACCCACATGACCAACAAACGTCTTGCAATCAGAAGCTCTTTTCAGAGCATATTGACTTCATAATTGACCAAAAACCTTCCTGCAATTGGGAACTCTTTTGAGAGCTCATTCACACTCAGATGGACAAACAAAATTCTTATGATTGGGAGCTCTTATCAGAGCTTTTGACTCCCCAGTCAATCAACAAACTTCATGCAATTGAAAGCTCTTATCAGAGCTCACTGACACTCCCAATCAACCAACAAATTTCTTGTAATCTGCTGCTCTTGTCAGAGCTTATTGATGCCCAGATCAACGAGCAAATATCTTGTGATTGGGAGCTTTTATCAGAGCTTGCCAACTCCCTTATTGACTGACAAACTTTTTGTGATCAGGAGCCTTTATCAGAGCTCATCGACTCCTCAATCAATCAGCAAATGTCTTTTGATTAGGAGCTTTTTCCGGAGCTCATTGACTCCCCTGTTGACCAACAAATATCTTTTGACTGGGAGTTCTTATCAGAGTTCATTGACTCCTTTACCAATCAACAAACATCTTACGATCAGAAGCTCCTATCAGAGCTCAACCTCTTGGCAGTGCTCATTGATACCCAGATCAACCAATAAATATCTTGTGACTGGGAGCTCTTATCAGAGCTTACCAGCTCCCTTATAGACCAACAAACTTGCCATCAGAAGCCCTTATCAGAGCTCATTGACTCTCTCAATCAACCAACAAATTTTATTTAATTGGGAGCTTCCATGAGAGCTCTTTGAAACTTATTTCAAACAACAGATGTCTTATGATTGGGAGCCCTTATCAAAGCTCATTGACTCCCCAATCAACCGACAAATTTCTTGTAATAGGGAGCCCTTATCAGAGCTCATTAAATCCCCTAGTCTACAATCAAACTTCTTGCAATTGGGAGCTCTTATCAGAGTTCTTCGACTCCCCAATCGACCTACAAAGTTCTTGTGATCAAGAGCCCCTGGCGCCTTACTTTCGCACTTGGGCGACTCTGGAATTTTAGTTTTTTTCGCACAAAGCATATGCTGGGCACCCTTGATTTCACAGTTTCAAAGCACTGGGCTACATTTAATTTTCCTTAGACCACAGCCTTGGATCAGGAGCCCTTATTAAAGCTCATTGACTCTTTATCAACTAACAAATCTTATTTCAATTGGGAGCTTCTAAGAGAGCTCTTTGAAACTCATATCAAACAACATTTCTTGGGATTGGGAGCTCTTATCAGAGCTCATTGACTCCTCAATCAACCAAGAAACTTCTTGCAAGCAGGAACTCTTATTAAAGCTCATTGACTCCTTGATTGACCAATGAACTTTTTGTAATCAGAGGCTCTGATCAAAGTTCATTGACACTCCAATCAACCAACAAATATCATGTGATTGGGAGCTTTTATCAGAGCTTACCAACTCCTCATTGACCAAATTTCTTATGATCAGGAGCCCTTATCAGAGCTCATTGACTCTCTTGATCAACCAACAATTTTTTTTGAGAGCCTCTATGAGAGTTAGTTGAAACTTATATCATCAACAGATGTCTTGCGATTGGGAGCTTTTGTCAGAGCTCATTGACTCCGCCCCCTCCCCCCCCGCCAATCAACCAAGAAACTTCCTGCAAGTAGGAGCTCTTAAAAGAGTTCATTGACTCCTTGATTGACCAATAGACTTTTTGTGATCAGAAGATCTTATCAGTGCTCATTGAATTTCTTGATCAACCAACGAATTTCTTGTGATCTGCAGCTCTTGTCAGAGCTCATTGATAACCCAGATCATCCAACAAATATCTTGTGATTGTGAACTCTTATTAGAGCTTACCAACTCCCTTATTGGCTGACAAACTTTTTGTAATCAGGAGCCCTTATCAGTGCTCATTGACTCTCTTTGTCAACCAACAAATCTACTTTCAATTGGGAGCTTCTATGAGAGCTCTTTGAAACTTGTATCAAACAACAGATGTCTTATGATTGGGAGCTCTTATCAGAGCTCATTGACTCCCCAATCAACCAAGAAGCTTCCTGCAAGCAGGAGCTCTTATCAGAGGTCATTGACTCCTTGATTGACCAATGAACTTTTTGTGATCAGAAGCTCTAATCAGAGCTTTTCAGAAATTTCTTGATTGACCAACAAATTTCTTGTGATCTGCAGCTCTTGTCAGAGTTCATTGATAACCCAGATCATCCAACAGATATCTTGTAATTGTAAAGCAGGAGCTCTTATCAGAGCTCATTGACTTCTTGATTGACCAATTAACTTTTTGTGATCAGAAGCTCTAATCAGAGCTCATTGAATTTCTTGATCGACCAATAAACTTTTTGTGATCAGAAGCTCTCGTCAGAGCTCATTGAATCTCTTGATCAACCAACAGGTTTTTTGTGATCTGGAGCCCTTATCAGAGCTCATTTGTAACCCAGATCACCCGACAAATGTCTTGTGATTGTGAGCTCTTATCAGAGTTCACTGGCTCACCAGTCAACCAACAAACTTCTTGTGATTGGGAGCTCTCATTAGAGCTCATTGACTCCCCAGTCAATAAACAAAATAATGTCTTTTGATTAGGGGCTTTTTCAGAGCTCATTGACTCCCCAGTTGACCTACAAGTATCTTTTGACTGGGAGGTCTTATCAGAGGTCATTGCCTTCCTGATCGACCAACTAACATCTTATGATCAGAGGCTCCTGTCAGAGCTCAATCACTTTCTTGCAATCTGGAGCTTTCAACAGAGTTCATTAATTTGCTAATCACCCAAAAAACTCCTTGCAATCAGGATCTCCATGTCCATGCTGTACCAGAAGCCTACAACAGTATTTTGTTATTTCAATAGAGTATAATTGAGGGTTTATCTCAGCTGTCACCTTGAGATGTATCTCTTAGTGTCCTTCATGCATTGCTCTCTGATTAACTTTAGAAGAAGCAACACCATGTTTGTGAAGCTGTCCCCAAAACTTGAATTGTGGTGACAAACTCTGTCTCAAATCTGCTTAAACAAGAGACAAAGGTCTTTCATTGTATCAAATAGCAGATGATGTGTATATTTCCTCTCCTCAGCGGTAGATACATTCTAGATCCTTCCATGTACAGGTATTCTTGTTGATTACATCAGAACTTGCTTTTTCCCTGAGGCCCAGGCACCGAATGCTTTCAACTGCTATCTCTACAAAGCTTCCATTAATGCTTATGTGCTCTAACCCCACAGGTAATGACTTTCCTTCAAGCTGCATGATTGCCTAATAAAAGCTGTAATAACTGGGTTCTGTGAAAGTAGCTTTTATACCCTTTCTTAAAATTTCTTGGTTATTGCAGCTGTAAAGTTAAATACAATATGAAATCCTTGAAACAGGTCATAACGTTCTGAAGCTCTTCAGGGTATCTCCACTGAATTTCTTTGCCTTTGTGTAGAAAGCAAGATCAATTGTAAGTTGTTTTTCAAGTGATCAAAATCTGCCATGTATTCTTTTCATCGTTTTTGACTATAATTCACAAAATTACATCTTTTTAACAATAACAATAATAACAATAACAGTTATAACATTATTTATATTGCGCCTTTACTATAAAATATTGAAGAGCGCATTTTCAAAAATATTCAAAGATGCATTTTTATTGGTTTCCATAACAACTGCTGCTATGTGAACAATTGACCAAGTTATTGAAATTAGCCTGTGTTAAGTTGCAGTCATAGTTAAATCACTCTTCTAAATTTTATTTTATTTGGTTGAGTAGTTCCCGATGTATGGTTGAAAAGTTCCTGCACACCTAGATATTGTTTGGTAAAAAGCACTTCACCCCAAATCACTGAGCCCCCAGTTTTTGACTATGACTGGCATAGTGATGACCTTTCAGTATTAGGATATCATTATTTGATGTCAAACCCTTGTTTAGTGGGGGTGCTACAAGGTCAACTTATTCTGGCTTCTCCTTGACAACTCTGACATGCTCTCTCCCAAAGGAATAATATTACAATTTCAAACAAGGCTCAATTGAATGTTACTGGCTACGTATGCTCTCTCTTTGTCACCGGGGCTGTGCTCTAGGCAAGCCAAGATACTCGACCTTAGCCAGCTACAGTTGTTGGAGGATATGAGAAAGCTATTTTGTTTAGAACTCTGCTCTCTAGATATCTTAGATTAGAGCCTTCAAGCTTTCCTGATTCTTTTAAGAGTGTAATGTCACATCTTGTTTTGAAGCTGTTAACTGCAATGCCTTGGCCAAAGCAGGAGCTGTTAGTGTTCTGTTTAGAGTGGTTACCAGCTGTGGTCACAAGAGGGTTATCTGTTTAAAGTAAGAATACATTTTTGCCTTTTAGCTCTTTAAATACCGGTGGTTTTGCATTTGAAATGTTTATTTATTAGACCACCATCAGATCTGTTACAGAGCCATTTTGTTGTGCTTTTGTTCATTAATGAAATTGGCATTTCCAAATAAAAACTGGTTTATGTGGAAGGAGCCTGGTAATTTCCTAAAAGAAATTAGTTAGGGTGTTATTTACATGTACTACAGTTAGTTTTCATAAATTATTTTCCTATTTTCTCTGTTTACATTGAGTTTTAACTAAATGGCAGTTAATCTCATTTTGCGTTTTTTTTTTAAGGATAATTGGCTTTGTACAAGTTGATTAGAATTGAAATTCCTAACCCTTTAACTCTCGGCAGTGATTAACATGTAACTTCTCCCCATGATACCCATATGTTATCCAACAAACAGGCAGGGAAAAGATTCAAACTCATCAGAGGAATTTTTCTCTTGCTCTCACACCAAATTCTCCCAACCAATTTACAAGGAAATGTGTAGCAGTTACAGGGAAGAATCATCAATCAGATCTTGGGTGTTAAAAGGTTAAAGGTAATGCCTACCTCATAATAGCTGTTACAGTGCCCCTTTAAGTATTGGGTTCGTGTTACCTTCAAGAACTGACGCTGCTGTGTTTTCCTTTTGTTATTTAAGACTGGTGTTGGAGATAATTGCTACCCTTGTAAAATCAAGTGAGTACTCCATTATCTTCACGAGTTAATATTATGGTAAGGCAGCTGATATAATTGTTAGCCAACTATGATTATTTGCAAGTCAGATGCCATCATCAGGAAATGTTTATGTTCAATTCAAGCTATCTATGTTTGTTGCTCTTTGCATTCTTCAAAGTCTTTTATAACACAATTAATAACAACAAATTAATAATTATATTTGTAATCTTAAAGCACTTTGTATCTGGAAGCTGCATTTTGGTTGAGCTAGATGTAAATGAATAACCTGATTATCATTGTAGTGGTCTTTCAGTATTCTTTATGTCACAGTTGTTGCACATCATTTTTCAAAATTGTACAAGTTCAAACATCCTAAGATTATGATCCACTAGATAACAAGATATTGTAACAAATATTGGTAATTGTGAAGACCAAGCAGTTACCTGAAAAGTAAGAATCATTCTAATCCAGTGAGATATTCACAAATGAACATAACACAGCCATGACATGTTAGCTGTTTGATGTCACAGCTATTACAATTTAGAGGTTACTTTCTGCTCACCACAGTTTACATTCAGAAGTATGTTACAAATAATTATCAAGTTCTTTTGACTTCTTTGAAGCACATTTGTGCCCTGAGGTAACCCTCTTTCAAAATGTGAAAGCAATTTTGAGTTTCTGTTGAGCAGATTTTACCAGACAGCTAAGCTGACTGAAAAATATGTCAAGGGCTAATTAGGTAAAATAAGGAACAGAGGTGGACTTGTTTTATTGAGGATGGGGGACTGCACTTGAAATCACAGAATATATCAAAGTCTTCTTTTTCAATTTTAAAATCTTTTTTTAATTGAAAGATTGATAATTCATGTAAATTCATTTTCTTGTCGTTCATTATTTTGTTTAGTATTAATATTATTTGTTTAATTATTTAATTACAACCCACGTAATTTATACTGAATAATGGGAATGTTAGTTAATTAATTATACTTATATGTATCTACATATACCATCCATGGTAAAGTAACGATTATCAAGGCCTTTTTACTTTCAAAAATGATATACCCTAGTTCTGTGTTAACTACTCCACCTGAAGTTATAAAAGAATTTAGTACTCTAGTGTTTCATTTCCTATGGAATGGAAAAGATAAGGTTACTAGACACTCCACTTATGCGCTCTACCATTCTGGTGGTGTAAACATGGTTAAAGCCTTGAGGTTAATTTGATTAAAAAGAGTAAGTGATGATAGTTGTGGCAGTTTTTAGAAACTTTATCTCAATGATCTCTTAAGTGGTCAGTGGGGAATATTTGTATTTAACTGTAACTATGCTGTTAAAAAATTATTTTACCTGATTTCTATTATGAAGTGTTATTATAGTGGTCAGAATTATAAGACCTTGTCAATTGTGATGGTGAATATAAATATATTATATGGACCAACAGAGAAATTAATATTGATGGTAAAAGTGTTTTTTAAGTGATGTTTATCAAAAGGTATTAAGTATACCAAAGATCTACTTTATGACAAGACAAATATTGACTCCTTTAACAGTTTTGAAGGAAAAAAGTTTTTGAATTTGAATTTTTTTTTACCTGGACAGGATTGAAACATGCAGTGCCATTGAATCTATGTACACATCCACCTTCTTTACCACCATTCTTGATCGGGAGAACTTTAAATGCCATGATGATTATAGCTTTCTGATAAAGTTTAAGTATGAAAAGCCAAAGAAATGGGCCAAGATAGCAGAAGAATTTGATCTGACGATAACTGTTTTTCAGAAGCTTTTTTGTTGCCCATAAGAGTTTTTAGCAAGCCCTTCTTGAAATCTTTTCAATATAAAGTACTGAACTCCCTTCTTTTTACCAATGAAATCCTTTTTAAAATAAGCTGTATTCCAAGCCCTAACTGTTCCTTTTGTCAAGATACCAAAGAAACTAGAAACCATGCATTATTTACTTGCCCCTTTTTGTATTCTTTTTGGATGGATGTTATTGCCAACATTTTGAATAATACTAGTAGTTGCTGAAGTCGTTTACTAAGTGATGTTGTCAGCGGAATCTTGAAGGAGGGGATGGATCTAGTCAATTGTGTACTAATTCTAATGTAAAGCTATTTATGGAGTTGTAGGTCTAAAGATACTAAACTGTCGATTAGTCACTTTAAGAGAATTCTTGAAAACAAATACAAAACTGAAAAATATATTGCTTTTAAATCTAATAGAATTATCTCTTTCCGTAATAAATGGAAATCCTACAAAGAATTGTCTTTAAATGGCGATAATTAATTCTTTTACTTTTAGTTACTGGTTAACTATAAGAAACTACCGTGAAAGTAATTTAATTCTTAAACACACACAACATAATCCATACAATTAATTTAATTAGTGGTGATAAGTAATTTTTCATTTCTGGTTAATTATGGGATATTTATCTTGTAAGTAATTTAATAAGAACATATACAAAACTTTGTGTGTAAGAATTTTAATAAGTACACAGTCACATACACACACACAAATGTAATACAAGAATAGCTTTTGAAGAAGACATTAAAATAAAATAAAAAAAAATTAATGTAGACACAGTCTAACCTCTTGTTAGCAACTAACCAATATGTCAAATGTAGATGGTCACATATGGGAGGTGGTCGCTAACCAGAGGTCAGACCATAGGGGGTCCATGTCATTTGAGTTATTTGCCTATGGTGACTGGACCCTTTGACCTTACTTTTTGCACCTTATTCAAGGAAAACCATATTGTATATGGTGATTGTTTTGTATCTTACAAATTATTTAATACAGCATTTGGGACAATTCACTCAAAAGAAACTTAGCACCTTTGTTACTTTTATGATATCTGTTGAAACCAATTTCAGTTTGCTCAAAATCTGTCAAGTAGCCTCCAGGTGCTTCTTGCCGCCGACAGTCTAGAAAAGTCCTCCGTACAGTGTTGTAAAGCGCATTAGAGCATTACATGGAGACGCACTATAGAAATTGATCTATATTAGTATTATTATTATCATTATAATAATTCTCCTTGCTGTCCACGGTATAATTCTTATGATGTTACCAGTAGAATTTGGTATAGGGTCAATTACAGGAAATAATCCCCTAATTTATATTTTCCTTGTCTAATTGATATTGTATATTAATTAATATTAAAAACTGGATCATTGGATAATGCAATTCAAGACTTTTCATTGGCTTAGCCATTATGGTATATGAGCCAATAGACCATAAACTACGATATGGTAAGCGTATGCATAAGCTTAGAATTGAAAGGGAGCCAAAAATTTAATAAAATTTAATAATTTAATGTAGGGTTTTTAATAAAACAATTATTCCACTCGCGTTTGTCGGATATGAGATGATTATAGCCAACTTGGCGCTACGCGCCTCGTTGGCTATCTATCATCTCATATCCAACGCGCGCTCGTGGAATAATTGTTAATTATTACATGACGCTGGCAGTCAGAGGGCCAATAACTAAAATCAACCAATCAAAATGCTCTATTGCTGGTCCAATATTCTCTAAGTATTGGACTGGGCACTGTCCCGAATGGTCACGAATGATACTGCACTAGTCTTGTGTCCCTTTGAACTTCGGTCGTATAATAAATCTCTTATTAACCAAGCTTGCTCGGGACCACACTGGAATAATATCAACCCTAGGTCTTTTTTGTACAGACCTCGCTACGCTCGGTACGTACTGTCAAGACCTCGGGCCAATATTCTCCCAGTACGGCCCTCCCTCTTGGTTAATAAGATATATATATATATTGTAAGGAGAAATTCTGTCTTGGTCACTTATAGGAGTTAAAAGGTTAAAGTCACTTCAGAGGGGACAGTTTTAATTACTAAATTATAGTCAGTACAACTTAGAAACAGTTGCTTTTACCATGTCTCAGCTTATGATAAAATAGGAAGACTAGTAGCAAAGTTTCATAAGCCAGGGCTACAGGGTAATCACTTCATTCAACTTTTTTTATTATTTGTAGAGAGCTGTGCTTCTAAAGCAGTCAGCCATGGAGTTGTTCCACTGCTGTTACAAATGTTTTGTGATTGGCAAAGAACAGATCATCATCACAGACAAGCAAACATCAGAAAAGCTATTCTAAATGTGATCAAGAATATCACCATGTCAAGTAGGTGAACCCTTTACTTTACTTCCTAGCATCGGTGTGCATATTGTCCATACTGTTCTTTGTACATTTCCTAAGGTATTGACAAGGAGAGTTTGTTAAACAATTAAGAGCTATTTGAGTGGGTGTTCATTTCCCATATTCTCATTACCTCAGTGTTTGATTCAGAAGTGATGATGTATAGAGAAATAAGATGCTAGTCACTCTGAGGGGTTAAAGGATTAAGAGAGGAGACTACTGATTACTTATTAATTTGGTTATATTGACCAAGTTGAAATTGTAAATTGGCCACCGTAAAGAGTTAAAAAGCTGCTGTTTCAAGCATTAGTCCTTCACTCTAATGAAGGGCTAACACTCGAAAAGTCAGCTTTTTAACTCTTTACGGTGGCCAATTTACAATTTCAACTCAGTTGATAGAACTAAATTACCTTGTTACCCCCACCAATGCAGCAGCACAGTTTCTTTAAAAACTTACCCCCTTAATTCATTTGTCTGGTAAATGTTGTTTCTTGAAGGACAGACAATAATTATAACTAACCAAAGTAAAGCACACTGACGTGAGCAAATGCAAAGACTAATTTTTCACATGCACTTGTGTTTTCTGGTCACATTCACCGAATCAAAATATGGCGTCCTATCTGAATTACCATTGTTTTTTACTTACTAGCCTTGTCTTCATGTGGAAAACACAAAAGGATTATCACATGTGTGAGAGGCTAGTAAGTCCAGAACAATGGCAATTCAAAGTGGACGCCATATTTCGATTCGGTGTATAAGATTTGTTAATGAAAGAAAACTCTTTTGCTACAGTGTAACAGTGTTGTGCTGTTAAACAAAATTAATGGTAAATGCCGCAGTGTACACTATTGAGTTAACTCAAGAAGCTAGAATCGCTCTCGGCTGTCGCCTTGCACGACTCTTATGCTTCTTTCATGCTTAGCAACCCCCTTTGTGCATCCATAACTCAATAGTGCATGCTGTGGTGTTTACCATTTGTTAATTATAGTGGTTCTCTTGATTGTACAGCCTAAACATTGCCTGAAAAGTTGACATGTAAACCAAAAAGAAACCTTGAGAAATATTGATTGTGAAATTTGCTTTGGATATCTTGGTAGGCTGCAAAGAACTGGCTGTCCTCTTGTCTTGCTACCCCATTTTCAACTTTATTTACAATAGTTGTTTCAATGTTGGAAGAAAGAAATGGCCTAATTTATCCTAAGCTATCTCAAGAAATTGATAGTCAACTTGCTGTCACGAATTGGGAATTAATGGACCGAAGTATCAAAGAGAGATGCTATTTGTTTGGTCATTTGTGCTATACAAGTGTTATGAAGAGAATGCATTAGTGTGCTAACATCCTGCATGCTGCTAGGATCAATAGTGTTGAAGGCATTGTGTGTGTAAATACATGAGATTTATTGGTATGGTTAAATTTCTGGATTTTAGGGAGTGGTAAAAAGGCATTTATCCAAGCTGATGGTATCAAAACTCTGTACACATCATCACTGGAGACTTTAGATTGTGAGTTAATTTTGATGTTTCACAGAATTTTTTTTAGACCATTTTTTTTTTGCTTCTGAATACATTTTACAAGGAATTCTTTGTTGCTCTGTTTCAGGTCGTGAGCTTGAAGGGGTAAACAATCTCAGTAGCCAGATTCTACGAAGATGTTTTCCAACTAACAAGCTTCCGTTGTCAACCTTGTCATCACCACTTACATTTGCTCTGTTAGATTTAGACAGTGCTGGCCATTCAGCTGTTGAAGATCTTCTGGATGATAGCGGTGAAGGTGATTAAAATGTCTTGGTTGAAACACCCTCTTCTGTATAGTGGAGTTATGTTTAGGTCAGATGCCAACTTTGAAAATCTGTTGTTGTTTCACATTGGATAATGCCCAACCCCAAAAATTTGTTTTTGTATGTATTTGTCTCGCCACAAACTTACTGGCTAAAATGATAAACTGATAAAGAAAAATAACAAGCAGAAAGCCGTTTGCCCAGTTGAGAAATCCCTTAGCAGGCTAAAAATAAAGATGTTTTCTTACTTACAGGGTTGGGTTACAAAATTACTCTTCAACTACTGAAAGCATTCTGGCTTCCAGTGGAGTTCAGTTTACCATCGTGCATGCATATAAGACAGAATTGTGGTGATTCGTTGTAACTGGAATACTTACTAGCTATTCCCTTTCAATGAATTCTCCCTGTTCTCAACTTGATATTCTTAGAGTCAAAATAATAATCATGGGTGTAACCAATAATTTTCTCTAGGCTGTGAAATAAATAAATAAATGGGTTTTTCAGTGGGACCCAGGAGAAGTGCTAAATGAAGAGAAGTTCCTTTTTCACTTTCTATAATTCTTTTTCTTGAAGCAAATATTAACAGAAACAACAACAAAAGTGAATGTTTTCAGTTATCCGGTTAACCCTTTAGCTCCCAGAAGTGATTAACACCTTTTCTCTGTCATATCCATTAGTTATCCAGCAAACAGGTAATGAGAATACTCAAACTTATCAGGTAGAGATTGTTATCTCGATCTAACACCAAATTCTCTTATTTGTAATTAATGTACAAGGAAATGTGTACCTGCCAAAGGAGAGAATTAATCAGATCTTGTGAGTTAAGGGGTTTGAAAACTGATTGGGGTAAGAGGGGTATTCTTGTTTAGTTATGCTATTATTTGGTAACCACCAGAAAACTTTCCATTCCAAAATAAATTTCTGAGATATTCTAATTTTTTATACATTTACAGGGCGTGACACTAACTTTTCAACTTACTAGCCAAGTGGCTAGTGACGTCTTAGATGTTACGACAATTTCAGTTTGTCTACCAGCTAAACTGTCTGGTGGAAATTGAAAACTACAAGCCAAAACTGAATTTCTACTAGTCTGTGGCTAGTTGGCTATCGTTAATGTCGAGCCCTGATTTATTTAAATGCTGTTACCTGTAATTCAGTCCCTTATGAGCAGTTGGGCTTAGTCCTATCAATACACAAATGTTATCAACTTGTAATCAAATGGTCTGCTCCATATATAGGTGAGTCTACTGATGTTGAATCAGAGGAAGAAGAAGATGAGAGTAGTAGTAGTGCAAGTCAAGATGATAAAGAAGGGCTTGAAAGTGGTAACAAGGGTAAAAAACCAGAGGTGAACTCCTCTAATCAGACCAAACAAGTCAAAACAAGAGATGATCTGGCCATGTATGAAAAGTTCTTCCCAGAACAGTTTGAATTTCAGGTAAGTGGTTGTGTTTGAAAAGGCAACATTCATCTTCCCACAAAGTTCAGGAGTTAGCAATCACTCTGTGTGTCAAAGAAGGTTTTCCTAGCTTGTGCCAAAACGTGTGTAGCGTGGGAACTTCAAGATCACCTTTATCAATTAGATCCTTTGTCGTATTTTGGGAGTACATAGTGCACAAATATCTGTGTTACTTGTCGTAGGCCGCTTGAATAATTAACGCGCAAGTCGCAAATAGAGAGATAAGGTGCCCAAGGGGCCAGGAAGCTACAACTACGGTCGCACCCAAGGCTGGAACGCCCGACTGGCCTGCCCAATCCGCTACCAGCCACGAGCACCCCACACCACTAGAGCTCGAAGGTTCAGTGGAAGAAAAATAAACATATTTAAATAACTGAATAAATTGGAGATGGGAAGGAATACCAAGAAGCTCTCCTCAAGAATGATAACGCCACGCTATAGTACAGCGAACACAATGCAAGCACTGGAGTGAACAACGCATGCACTGGTGAGGAGTACTGCTGGACAAGGACGGCCCTAGGTCTCCAACAACCACATGGTTGCTGCAAATGCTACAGAACGTACACAAACGCTGTACAAATGCTAACAGAAGGCTAATATGCTAAGAGAAGGCCAGAAAAAATGCTAATGAGAAGATTAGCTCCAAGCCATTTACTTTTGTAAATTCCATTTAACAATATTTAAATTTTTTTGTGAATTTATTGTTGAATAGTTGGATTGTTTGGCAAATCCACAGAGCCCAAGGAGAAAATTTGTTTCGGATATTTCCTCAGTTCTATAGCAGAGAAACTGTATTTTCCATCTTTTCACTTGCTGTTTTTGCAAAAGCATCAAGAACTTGGGCAATAGCAATTTTGGAAATGTGTGCTTCAGTTTCAATCACCTCGAGCAGGGAGACATGTATAGTGTATATTGTGTGTGCACATCTCTACAAACACGTGAGCGTATACACTAATTGCAAAAAGATGAATATAATTTATCTGTTAAGCTTTTAGCCTTACCTAACTTACCCTGACCACACTGTATCCTTTCCTTGCTTGTTAATTTGGAGAGTTTGAAATTTTACCAAAGAAACACCCGCTCATGGACAACGTTAGTATCAGAGCAACTGCGTACCTACCCCTCCCCTGACCCAACAACAGTCAACTGCCAACACATGAGGGTTAATGTTGGATTAGGGGAGAGGTTGGAGCGCAGTTGCTCAGATACTGAAATCACCCGCCTGCCTGCTTGAAAACATAATGCAAACATTGCACCAATATTGGCCAGTACTGATCTCTATTGGAAAGCAAAGGTTGATGTGTAATCATCCAAAATGTTTTTTTTTCGTTGTCGTCATTTGTCAGGTTGACGTTTCCGAGCCAATGGAAGATGACACGTTTACATCATATCCAATAGTAATTCCAACAGGTTCTGAGGAGCCATTGTCCTGCTCGCCTGCAGGACCAAGCCATCTGTCAAACCAGCTTGATTCTATGAATTTTGAAAGGTGCGGACATAGTGCAGAGTAGAGTAAAATAAATTCGGATGCAGGAGGGAGCCTGAGAATATGACATAAGTAGAAGTGGCACGAATGATAAACAAATAGACTTGGAAAGAAAAATGCTGAATTAAAAAATTACTTTGAATGTCGAGAAAGATTTTTTTTCGTCGTGTTACGAGCTTTGGATAAGGAAAAACAATTATGATAACCCATTGGGATCGAATCTCAGACTTTCGGGTTCCGTGCTCTACCACTGAGCCACAGGAACTCTCCATCGCAATTGTTAGTTGTAATTTACAAGTAATTTTGTTTTTGTACAGGTTATATTTAAGGGGGTGCGCCTATGTTATAACTAACTCCGGTGTTTTTATTTTACCTAAGTTAATCGCTAATAGATGAAGTTTAATCTAATGCTTAGAGTTAATGGCATGCAAAAAAATATCGACCGAAGCACACTGGGAATGGTCACAAGCAAAGATTACCCCTCCCCTGAAAAAATCAGAGGAAAGTGTAGATACATAATCACCTGGATACTTAACAAGTCAACAGAGGGGAAGAGAGCCACAAAAGTCCCTGTAACTGTTTTCTTCACAGAATTTGAAAACAAATGAGAGAAAATTAATCAAGGATAAATTTTAGATGACCTTTGTTTATATTGCTACAGTCCACCAGCACATTCTGAGGAAAATCAGCCAGTGACACAAGTCACAGCGACACAAGAGGAGCTGACTCAAGAAGAGAGATCTTATTCATCCGCGAATTTCACCGCTGAGGTTGGTAGCAGTGAGACCTTTGAAAGTGTGTTGCCAATCGTCAAGACACCGTCACCTGATGTGTATGGCCACTACCCACCGTCCGAACCAGAACCACTGGGACAGAAGAAAACTGGACTACAGAGGTAAACAGCTAATCCTTATTGTGTAACATCATATTTTAAATTTTAAAGTGTACCAGATGGTTTGATACAATAGTCTTTAAAAATGTGGTGAGAGGACGAAGTGGCGAAGTACTGAGCATTTCATAGTCTAGGATTGGAATGATGGAAAGGACAGGCAGCCTACAGACTAGAAGCTGTCTGTTTCCCACTCGTTTTAGGGTGAGAACTTTAGGCCGGGGTAGATTGGGACTAGATAGGGTTTCTTGTCCCCAAGAGCAGAGAGGCAATTTGTCTGCGCATGTTGGTAAATTTTAGTTTGAAGCAACTAACCGCTGCTATGCGCCTGTGAGGGTTTCCCGCTAAAAAAGTGAAGGAGGAAGACGCGTCGGAAATAAACAATGGAACGAGAACTTGCAATTTCAGCAAGAAAGAAATTTAATCGTGTCACTGCTATCTAAACTAAACGAGTGCAGTTGTCGTACTTACTTTCCTTTGAGCGTTTTTAGAGATTCAACTGCCGATGCAATGTACTTGCAATTTCAGCAAAAAATAAAAGTTAACAGAAGTTTGTCTTGAATGAAAAGTTTTTTTCACAAATCACAACCAGCGGGACCGATTACTGAAACACAAAATGTCATCGTCACCTTAAGAAAAGTAAGATAACTAGAGATATGGTCGCTATAAGTTGGGGGAAATGGAGGAATGGTTATGGATTTTATCAGAGAAAAGAATCTTCTTTTCAATCATCAGTCTCGAAAATATCATCACCCATCGTTTATGATGTGGACAATTTTACTAAAATCTGATAACTTTATTTTGGTCAAACTACCCCTAAACCTCAACAGATGAGAATTGCACCATAACTGGAGATTTGTGTACAAAAAACAAAGCCTAACCTGATGCCTAAATGTGAATTAAATCAAATAATATTTTGGGGCTTCTCAATAAAAATTATTTTGACTTCATCTATCCTTCCAACTGCCCAAAAACATCAGATACACCATTTACAACCTTACTTTTCAACCTATTAAATAATAAAATTAATAATAATAATAATTATATATTTATATTGCGCAAATTAACATGTGGATATGATCAAATGCGCATCACAACACTTTTCGGGGGACTTTGGCCGCACTGCATCAGCAGTTTACAAACAATCGAAGGAAACTTATTTGAAGATGTCCCCTCCCCCCAATTCCCAGTAAACAGGCCAGACCACATCACAGTAATCTCGTGAGTGGGTTCTTTAACGTCACCTGCCTAACCAAATTAACTAATTAATAGATGCAGGAGACGGGACCTACGGTTTATTCGTCCTTATCCGAGAAGAATAGAATGTCCATCCATTTCTTGATATTATAGAAAGGTAGCGCATTCTCCNATTTACAGACATTCGCCAGGAGGTTTGGTTGTGTCAATTTTATAGCAGACAAATCATGTATAAATCACTCAAGAAATTAATTAGCTCTCGACCTGGGAGCTAAAACACTCTTCAGGAATCTGAAAATAATTCAACTGATTACTCCTCACATTCCCTTTCAATGAAATCTGGACAAAACTTTTGAAAACTTTATTGGTAATTTTACAGTTTCAAGTAAAATAGACATAACTCCCATTTAGCATATTAGTCTAGGCAAGTTGTGTGCAGAGAGCAAAAGACTGATAATTTAAACCAGTAGTACGCTTTTGGTAATGATGACAAACTCTTGAATAACAGCTTGCAACAATAAATGTCACAACCATCCATTCTACCAATTATTGGGTCACTTAACATTACCTTACACAGAAGAGAACATAACAGTTAATTCCTATCATCAAGAAAAAAGAATTTCAAGATTAAGACACATACAGCAAAGTGAAATGTAACTCAACTGCTTTGAAATTCATAGTGCACTTCGACTCAAAAATTCACTTTGCAAGGCAAAAACATTCTGAAATAAACAGGACAGAATACAGCTGACGCAATTCGTTTCGGAAAACACACGAACATGAAGAAAACGGCACCAGTTTTAACTCGAGATAAAGCCCACGCATTTTTTTTTTTCCGAGGTAAATGGACTGGTTAGACCTAAAGCTAGATAAATAAACAATTAACTGACAATAGGGAGGGATTTGGGGGCCATGTGATAAACAAGTTTTACCAAAGTTTTTCCTCTATTTAGCACTTCAAGCTCGAAAAGGCAATAAAAAACATTACCACTAATACACAGCAAATAGATAAGCCAAAAAAGGAATTGATTGAGACAAGTCCATAACCGTTGTTAAGACACCTGCCTACCTACCATGTACTACAGACTTGAGAGCAAACAGGCCAAAGACGGTGTTGGGTCATGACTAGGAAAATCCACCAAAACCTCCCGAAAAACAATTCGCTGAAGGCTGTGGTAAGAGAAACTCAATCCTGAAGCTGGACCATTTTTTAAAGCCTTGTGTCCTATCTTACTGTAAAGAGAAAGAAAAGACTATGTTGTTTAAAGTGATTTGATGCTTGGGGGCCACCTCAAACTGAACGCAATTTTACTTCGAAGTTGAAGTATAATAGGATCAAAATCTAAATTTCCATTTTTCCTCGGATCAAATATCTCACGATCGTCTCCACACACACAAATTCGGGATTCACAAAAGTAAAACATCAACATCTTAAGAATAACATCCAAAGTTTGTGCACATCTTGATCTTCAGTAAATCAAATCTCACACTTGAAGGTTTCGGGCTTTTTTCGCGTTTTGTTTGCACTTTTAACTTGTGTGTTCACTCTCTTCAACCGGAGAGCCAGCAAATACCACGAGTATCCAGAGAGTTAAAAATGTTGGTGAACTTGCCATACTCCTTCATCTTCAAAAAATATCACAAAAAGGTGTCGATCGTCCAGTTGAAAACCCGAAGAAGCGCATTGAAAAAATTAAAATGGCGCCCAACGCGCCAAACTAATTCCACTCACACATGCGCAGACAAAATACCTCTCTGCTGTCCCCAAGGTGAAAAACAGTCGGGCCCAACCCTTCCCGTACGGTTACTACCTATCCACGCTCGTCAGACCGTACAAGAAAAACAGACTCCTAGAAGTCAATGCAGCTCTAGAGACGAATCTCCTTAAAATTCTGAGTTACGTTTGCGTCGCAATTTTTGGGTTCTTGTTGTTGTTGCTTTATTTGTGCAGTGTTGAAAGTACATTTAACTCGAGCAGGATTGCTGAATACTGGTTCGGTAGGAGAGGGAATACCATCGAGGCCATGAGAATCCAAAAGGGAATCCGGACGTCAAATTATGGCAAGAACAAAAAAGTGGCAAGCGAGGCCCAGCCAATCGTGTCACTGGTATTCTTAAGCCTGGTTCACATATGATCGCAGACGATCGCGCTCGATCGCCAGCGATCGTCTGCGATTATATGTGAACAGCTCTGCGATCGAGTGCGATCGCGATCGCAGGAATAGAACCATGTTCTATTCGTGCGATCGATTGCGATCGTCTCCGATCGAGTGCGATCAATGTGAACAAAGTTCTCTGATCATGCGATTGAAATGTGTCCCATAATGCTATGTTTTCCAGCATACAGCACTGCAAGCGGCATGATGCC